GCCGACGCACTTTGGTTTGGCACGAGCTGGGTTAGGAAACTGCATCTAGAAACAGACAAATTGGGACAGCACATAACTCTAACTGTGGCATCTAAAGCCGAAGTGCAAGTGGATGTTTCTATTCCCACAGTGGCTGTTGAGCAGCACTTGCCAAATGCTCACACAAGTTCTGCTTTTCCTGCAATGTGACAAAATGTGGCGCTGTAATTTTACTTTTCTTGGATTTGCATTGCTTGTTGTTAGACAGCTGCTAGAGATAGTTGGGGTGCACACCAGTCCAGCTGGAACTAAGAATTAGGCTGGAACTGAGGCACCAGCTAAGACTAAGGCCCCAGCTAGCTGGGACCAAGGCCTTGGCTGCTGACTTGCGGAAATCCCCATGTCCCAGCTGGCCGTACATCCAACCACTGATTTGTGTTAATGTCCATCTGTCCAGACATTGCCTTAACCATGTTCATTGGAAGTGACAGTTTGTTCATGGAGAAGTGGCAGTTAGGAAAATCTTAGGAACACACATATGAAAGCAGAAACTTCACCCTGATAAATTATTTGCCAGCTCACTCATTATTTACTAGCTGGATGTGGTTTCACACAAGAGGGGTTCACACAAATTCTTTTGCATATCTGGTTAGTTCAGAACAAAGCCATGGCTGGTTCAGCCATCCTTGGTTAAATCCCTGTGGATCCCTTTGGCACAAAGCACATGTAACATGGACCAAGTGTACCTGAGATGCAGTTTTGGGGCTACCATCCACCAGAATACACAGAAAACAGCTGCGCTACAGCTCCACATGGGCTCTCAAGGCTATGGGAAAGCAAACCAAATCCCCTAACTGAGCCTCATGTTGCTTGACCCTTTTTGCCCCCCTCCCCCCCATCTAAGGCTGCATGCAAGTCACCTTGGTTCCACCTTGTCCCCACCATGCTGGTAAACGTTGGCAAGCTCAGGTCCAAACCCAAACCTGGAACGCGCACGACCCCTTGGCAAGAAACAGTGCCAAAACCAGTGGCGCTGGAAATCTGAGCCAAACTCTTGGCAGTGCGAAGTTAAGGATTGCCAATGCTGAAGTAATTATTCAGGTGAGCAATCTTGGCAGTGAGCATTAGACACTAGAACCTGAATAAGTAATTAAGTATAAGTAATTATCTCCAAGATTAAGTCATGGCAATGTTGTGACCAGTACCCAGCTCCTGTTCCCCCTTGTCCCTGACAGGCTAAGGTTCAGACTAAGGTCCAGCCAGGCACTTCTCCAGGTCCAGCACTTCATCCAGGGCAACGCTTCATAACCCTTGAACAAACTAGGACCCCGCTGAAAAGCGGGTAAGCGCTGAAAAGCGCCCCCTTTTTTAATTTGAATGGAGAAGCTGCTCATCAAGGTGTGCCAGACTGGGGAAGGGGAGGGAATGGAACGCACACATTTTTCTGCAACAGCACAACGTCCTTCCCTGCTTGACACTGGCCAGGACCTGGGTTGTAAATTTTTGGAACTTACAAAGGCCAAGGCCAAGGGAAGAATAGCTTGGCCCTGGATGATAATGAAGTTCATTGGCAGCACAGGTCCTGTGATTGTTTTGCACAAAAGCTTAACAAGCTACATGGAACATTGCTCCAACTGGCAATGCCAGGATGTGCATTGGCAACAAATGCATGTGTGTGCCCTATGCCCAGGCATGCAAGGCCATGAAAAACATATTTGGGGGCAATGCTGGCATAGGAGGTGTGAGGTGCACCCTTTATTCCAATACACAATTACTGTGGCTTTCTGAGTTACACGGTAATATCCTTTAGCTGTGTGAGGTAACATCTCATGATTTTATTACTAATGTGCATTTGATGACTCTGTAGTTTGCGCTGCGCCGATAGCAAGGAACATGGACACAATAGTTGAGTCCTCTTTATGTAACATCATGACATTGTTCAACTGAGCATGCCTAGGCCACAAAACTATCATGACATCCCCCTGTGTTTCCAAGAAGGTTCAGCGTTTCTTCCTGGCCTTACCTTGAGTTCAATCAGGGCTCACTTACCTTTCCACTGATATGATTCCTTTAAAACATGGCAAGCTGTAAAACAAACTCCTGGAGCCCAGTTTGGAGTTGCAAGGGTTCAGTTTGGAATTGCCTTACTGGTGCCCATCCCTGCAACAAGAACCATTCCAGGCCATCTCAATTGCAATGCCATCCCAAATGACAGCCCAAAACAAGTCCAACATCATGCCTACAGAAATGCGAAAGAACCAATGACCATTTAAGCGCTCCAGGGCAACTCCAACACAAGGGAATTAAAGGGGGAACAGCTTCATGGGAGGCAGGGTGAATCAACAAGTAAAAGCAAGGAGTGGCTCTGAAGCTTATTGGTGTCATGTTTCTGTGATGCCATCCCAAAATTTGAAGAGGGTTGGCCAATGCTAGCACAATGATCATGCACATCAGTGTTGTTCCAATAGCAGGGGGACAGGCACATGGCAACAAGGGACATTGAAACCTAATCAACATGCTCAATGCTCGGGGATTCTTGGGAGTTACTGGCTGCACTTCAGCTTCTCCAGGCAAACAATGTTGTTTTTAATGTATCTTGAAGCAACCTTTACACCCTACTGGCTGATCAATCTCATTACTAGCCTGCCACCCTCCAAGGCCTGGACCTGGGCATTGGCAGTGGACAACCTCATCGCAAGTTCATCATTGCCAGGGCCACTGCTGCTATTGCTCTTTCGAGACACGATGTCAATTGCTATGCCATGACATGATGCCCATTGCTTTGTCATGACATGATGCCCATTGCTTTGTCCATCCATTGCTATGCCATGGCATGCTGTCCAGGTCCACTGACACTCCTGCAAGCCATGTCAGTCAAGTGGCGACAAGTGCATCATGGGAGCATCAAAGGACACTTGACATAGCAGCACATAGCAGCACGTAGCAGCACATAGCAGCACATAGCGGCACACAGCAGCACACAGCAGCACTTAGCACAGCAGCACTTAGCACAGCAGCACATAGCAGCACATAGCAGCACATAGCAGCACATAGCAGCACGTGGCAGCACATAGCAGCACATAGCAGCACATAGCAGCACATAGCAGCACATAGCAGCATATAGCAGCATATAGCAGCATAGCATTGCGGTGGCCAGCCATGTATTTCTTCAACTGCGTGGTGAACCAGCCGACGAACAGCTGGCCCGGCGCTGGCGGTGCTGCTCCTGGGTTCCGCAGGAAGGCACCTTCGCAGATCAAGCGCGCATCTTGGCTGCATTTGGGACCGCTACGTGGCGCACTGTGCTGCCTCATGGTGGACTCATCTCTGCATCCCAGGATCAGAAGCGGCGCCGGCTTTATCTTGTTGCTCGCATGCAGTTGGCATTCTAGCATCTATGAAGCACAAACAAACACATGTGTCACATGTGTCACTAAGGAGAACATCAATCATGGAGAACCAGCTGGCTCGGCTGACACTTGGCTGCTGGGTTTTGTGTTTGGTGTTAGATGTGAAGGGCTTGGCAGCCATGTGTGCACCACAGAAAGATGGGTGTGTGTTGTTTGTTTGGCCAGAAAGGGGAATATGCCCTGCACCCACGCAACAATTAATACCCTATTCTCCCCCCTAGCTGATGTTCAGCCATCAGGAGTGATGGCAGTGCCCCAGGGGCACCTCTTCCAGACCCAAACCAGTGATTTGACATGAGATTGGGTTGAGACAATTGTCAGAGTTGAAGTGGCAGTGTTTCGGCCAAGAAAACGTCCCTTCCCTGTAACGCAGTCAACAGCTGAACAATTTGGCTTAACATGTCAGATGCAACAAGGTTTAAGTGGCCGAACTGGGGTTTCCAAGCAGAGGGGCAATTATGAAGAGTCCTTGAGCCAAACCCACCATGTAACAGCCAAAGCCAACCTATCACTACATGTTTGGTCTTGACCTCTGAAAGCACTTTTTCGCACTGAGGGGACATGGATCAGGCCTTCTTCAAATCTTGGATCACTTGCTTGGACTTAGCCAATGCAATTTTCAAGCCAACGTTCTTCTGGTTCAATTTGCTGATGCGGCGGTTGAGCAGGGCATTGTCTTTCTCAGCAGCTTCTTTTGCCTCAGGGGAAGACCAAATTTAGAATTGGTGACTACACATTGTGCCATAACCCTGCCTGAATTTGCTTGTCGCAGACGCGCTTCCACATCTTCTGATGTTTTTCCAAATCCTTTTGCGCCAGCACAATGGCTTTCTCTGTCTTTTCCTCTGCTTTTGAGATCTTTTCCAATGCCTCTGCCAGCTGCCCTTCTGCATTCTGTAGCAATTTCCACCGGTTTGTGGCAGACAGGTAGAGGCTTGATGCATCCTTCCATGCAACCTGCAGCTGCACTTTGGCCTTCTCATGTGCAGCGCTAGCTTCTTGCAGATCCTCTTCCATCTTCTCCTTCTCACTCTTTGACTCCTTGAGTTCAGCCTTCAGCTGTCGCATCTTCTGCCTATTTTTATAGGCTTGCCCGCGGGTTTCTTTTGGCGGCATATCTGGCTGGTTGCCCTGATCTTACAAGCACACAGCTGACAGCCCAAATCTGTTCCACGGACGGTCACAAGCTCTTTGAGATTAATTGCAGCCTTTGCCATTAATTGCTGTGCAGCTTAGCACCTTTTTGATATCTCATGGGTCTGTGCTCACTGGCTGATAAAACAAATGTGCCCAGACATGGCCTGCAGGACAGAGCTGAAAACAAACACCTCACAGCAAGAGATGTGGTGGGCCATTATCCTTGCATGCAAATGGTTGAAAGCCAACACGGACCTCATGGCAGGCATGTCACGGCACAACATTGCATGCAAACACAGCCAAGATGTGGACAGCCACATCTTGGACAGCACAATGTGTGAGAAACCAGTGCATGGTTACCATGCACTGGAAAACATTAGTTCTTAGCTAGTTTTGTTTACAACATAACAACAAAAGCCCAGTGCATGCCCATCATGCAGTGGAAAAAACCAACAAGAAAGTCAAGTTTCAAGGATGACGCTGCCACTGAGCTTGAAGAGCCTGGGCCTGATCTGCCTGATCTTGAGCCTGGGCCTGATCTGCCTGATCTTGAGCCTGGGCCTGATCTGCCTGATCTTGAGCCTGGGCAGGAGGCTGATGAGCAGCAGCAGGAGGCAGAACAGTCAATGCCTTGTAGTGTCCCATCAATTTTCTCTTTGCATTGAACGGTTGAATGGGTCTTAGTCACAAAGTATTGTCAGTCAAATCAGTGGGAAGCTGGGCCCAAATGTGTGCTTCAGGCAGCCTGCCAAGTTTGGGGGTTCCACTTGCCCTGGCTGAAGGGAAACTCAAGAATTTGGAAGTTCAGCAAGAATCTAGACTTCCTTGAGCACAGTGCGCATCCCTGCCAGGCGGAGGTGGTGGATTTGGTGGATGACCAGGAGGCTACGGCACAATGGGCACAAAAGGCTCCTGAGGTTGACTGTTTGGAACCACCGGTTGAAACAATGCTTTGTTAAATCATGACAGCAACCAAACAAATTTGGTGAAGTGTTTTTTGTTGCAGGAATTCTGGGCATAAGAAGCTAGTATGAGCTTCATTGACTCTGACAGTCAGGCGTACTCCTGGCCCTTGGCCGAGTGGGGCGACGCGGTCAGCATTGAGGAGCACCCATGTGCTTAACATGAAATGAAGCCAGTTCAACATGCAAATTCAGACATTTGCTGCTGCTATTCACAGGGGGTTGAAAGAACCCTGGCTCGCCAGGACCCGGCGATCTCCTTGGAAGCGCAGGTGCTGCCCTTCGACCAAATCAGCCACAACATCGGCTTGGGCGAGCAAGGCAACTTCGACTCGGGGGAGGGCGGCTTGCTTTGCATCGTCAACTGCCAGGCCAAAGAGTGGCTTGACTTTTAACCAAGAGGTTTGAGGACAGGTCATCATAGGCAACTTGCCTTTCACTGAAATTGCAACCTGGCTGCCACACTCAGCTGAGGAACGCAGATCTGTGGAGAACACAATGCGAGAGCGTGAGCATCCCGTTTTTCGCGGCGAACCCGAACTACTTCCGGCTGCGCTAGATGATGCATGATGGCAGCATTAAAATCAAAACAGGGGCTCTAAAGCTTGTTCATCAGGTCCAAGCTATGTACATCTAAGCCTCCATTGCCTTGGACTAATTCCTACTACCCTTTTTGAAGCTCTTGTGTCTCAAAGAGTAAGCCATTCAATGCTGTGGTAAGGGGCCAGCCAAATGAATGAGGAGGACAAGCAGCAAAGTGTGGCAAGTCGATGGTCACCTTGTTTGTCAAGGGTTGCTGTCAACCAAGCAGGCCACAAAACTCCATTCAACCCACCTTCCTCTGAAGCCACGAAGTCTTGAACACCTGGGGGCTTCATGTATAACTGTTCCAGCCAAGGCTTGTTTGCAAGCCTTGGAACCCTAAACCATTTTGCAACTGAACTTCAGTGCCATTTCAGCCAGGGCTTGTTTGCAAGCCTTGGAAGCCTAAACCATTTTGCAACTGAGCTTAAGTACCATTTCAGCCAGGGCTTCTTTGCAACCCATGGTAAACCACTTTGCAACTGAACTTCAGCTGCCAGGACGTTTGAAGTCCTGGAAGATAATCTGTGGTTTCAACCCCCGCCTCAGTTGCTCAGAACCCCAAACTGTTTTTTGAGCGATGCTCAGCTGCCAAGACTTTGCTTGCAAGCCCCAGAACAATAGCCAGGTCTTGTTTGCAAGCCCTGGGACCACGAACTGATTTTCAAGTGATGCTCAGATGCCAGGACTTGTTTGCAAGTCCTGGAACAAAATGTATGTTCAACCAACCCCTACTAGCTCAATGGCCAGGGCTTGTTAGCAAGCCCTGGACCCCCAGACTGTTGTTCAATTGAAACTCAGCTGTCAGGACTTTGCTTGCAAGCCCTGCAACAAATGAGATTCCACCCCTAGCTCAGTAGCCAACGCTTGTTTGCAAGGTGTGAATCCCCAAACCATCCCCTGCCTGTCTGTGTCTTCGTTGGTCTTTTCCCTTACTTTCTTGACATCTGAGGTGGATGGACTTGGCGCTTTGGGCCTTTGAGCGCTTGCTGGAGGGCCGCGTGCTGCTGGTGCTGTGCAACGCAGGCCAGGTTCGCAGCCCCACAACGGCGGCGTGGCTGCCCCCAGGTTGCATAGAGAATTCCCTTGCACATGCCAATGGTCCATCTCCTCGAGTTTCCCTCAACTTCAGGCTTATGCTGCGCCACAACTGCTACTTCGCTGAAGCGGTGGCTCAGCCGCACAATGGCAAGTTGAGTCTCACATCAGTTAGCAACTTTTCACTCTGCTTGCGCTCAGGTTGAGCACATCAAGACAATTCGGGACGAAATCAAGGTTGAGGAGATCAGAGCCAGCTTCACAAAGTTTCCTGTCTGAAAATGTGTGCTGCATCACCACTGTTTAAGTCACTGATTGCCAACCTAAGGCTCGGGGGCTTCCTTGATCAGATCCAGCCAGAAGCATACAGACTCTAAGCTGCAAGTGATAGCTCTCCCACCAGTTGTTTCTATGGATTTGATTAACCCTGATTCAACAGCCCATTGCCTTTGATTCCCAGCAACCGCTGCAATAGTTGACTTTTGCATTGTTCCATGGGCCAGCCTTTCTGTTGGGGTCACTGAAGGAACATGTTGGCCAAAGGTCAACCATACTTTGCTTCAAAGGGCGCTGCTGTGTGCGAAACATGGGTGGGGGGCACTTACTTTTGCCATGAATAGATCTCGGAGCTCACGTCAACCCCCAACATGTATGTGAACCCCTTGTGTGCCACTTCTTCACATACAGAAGCACACAAGCACATGTTAGACTCAGACTCTGTTTTTGCGCAGTGTTGTGCAACCACATATGGCCACACTGCTGAGGAATGCTGAGTGAGCGTGGGCTGCTATGCCGGTGATGATGGGCTGCCATGCCCAAGTACATATGGCCATGGGTCAAACCCCGGTACCCCCAGTGAACATCCCACTAAAATAGACACCTACCCCAAAATGGTACCATTGGTGACGACCCACAGCCAGATCAGGAGTCTTCCTGCGTGAGTGGAGAAAATGTTGAAGCGCAAGCAAGCTTGCAGGGCTCATGCAAGAAGGCTCAGGCAGTTTGGTGAGGGTCAAACAAGTGATAGTTGCTGTGCTCAGGCCAGACACCCTGCCTGGATGGCCCGGTGCTCAGGGGTGCTTTTGCAGATAACTGGCCCCTCATGACCTGGGACGCCTTATGTGCATGTTACCATGACACAGTACATCTATGGGCCAAAAACACATCTCACTCAGGACTTGCTAAGTTTTGAAACATGTAGCATGGGACCATATGTTTAAGCAGAAGCTGTGCTGGAATGAAACCACCAGTTGTCACACATCACTGCAGTGCTCCAGGCTTGGTGCGATTGCACAACTGCCGCTTCAGGTGCTGGCCTGGCTGGACAAGGCCTGGCACAACTCACTGAGGCTGCTCAGTGAGGGGTGGCCAGTGAAATGCAGTGTATGTTTTGCTTAGCCAGTAGGGGGCTAGTGGCATCAGTTTCAAGTGCTGGGGCCAATGACGGCCTTGCTGCAAACATGACATAAACCTAGCACCCGCCTCACAACCTGCAATCCAACTAGCTTGCTTGGCCCCTGGTGTGGGCATTCTTTGCCAGTTCTTGTAGCTCGTTTGCTGAATTGAGGGTTTCTGTCATCATGGTTGCCATGCTACAACATGCCATCATGCATGTTGAGCTTGCAAATTATTGTCACATGTTAGGGGTTGTTTCTGTTGTCCCTGTCCGTTTAACATTGTCATGTCATATGTCCAGTTCCACAATGATGCCCAGTGGACATGTCTAGTTTTCACAGGAACTGCATTTCCATACCCAGTGTAGTTAGGGCTGCCCCCACATAGCCGCCTAGCTCTCTAATCCCATACCTCCCAAGAAGTAAGTTTTCCAACAGATGAATGACCATGATGATGGTGTTGTGGACTACAATGCAAAGCTGAAGCTGTCAACCCTGAAGAACACAACCGTCTTAGGTTCTTGACGGGCCCTTGCCCCACAGCGTTCAGCAACTGGCACCGATCGCACGTGTTCACAGGTACTTCCCCTGCCTTGCGT